GAAGACATTTCCTGGTTGTGGACAGAAGTTCAGAATAAACTGGAGGGAGACTCAGTAATGAGGCAATAATGTTGGAAACCAACCAGTTCTTTAACGGCTTGCAGGTTGAACCGGCTTTGAACCAGAACTCGTTCCTAATTCATGCTCGTAGAAAGGAGTCGATGCTTCGCTGCTGTTATCAGACGTTGGGGTGTTTCATATCTGGATCCTTTGGGTGGAGACCTGGCTGCAGCCGATGTGGACTCTGAGTCATCAGTGTTGCATTAGGAACTAAGCAGCCTCGATGTTATTTCAATGAAACGTCTCCAAGTTCTCCAGTTCTCCTCATCATCGCGGCGTTATGCAAACTATAAACCGCACAGCCCTCTTAAATAAGTCTCATTATGAGCGCAGTAACGAAGAGGTAGAGCCTTTGTTTCGGATGGAGAATTTAAAGCCTCTGTTTTGGCAGAGCGTGGAGTTTCATAATGCTCCTTAATGTGGCCTGCTTGGCAACGCAGAAGTCATCAATCTGCCGGGAAACAGCAGCACAGCTCCACATTCCTCAACAAACACACGAGTTTCAACAATAAACAGATATTTACCAAAACCAGAGGAGCAAGATCAGGAAGGAAAGGTCACCTGGGAAGAGTGTGATGAAAATCTGAAATATTTCTCATGATGTGTTTTGTTTGCTTCGTCAGAAATAAAGCGATTAAAGCTGAAAGAACTTGCCAAGAATCAGGAAAACAATCCGCTGCACTTTGAATATAAGTTATTTGTGTGATTTATAAGCAAAAATGTTAACAAAAAAAACAAAAAACCGTCTGGTTCCAACATCGTCAACATGCTAATCTTTAGTTTTTATCTGTTTTATGTTATGCGTTTAGAAATGTTGGTATTTTGGACTATTTGTCCCTAGTTTCTTACATTTAGACCAAAGATCTGTTGGGTTAAGGAGAGTAAATAATGAAAATCATTTGTTGTCGCCCTCCAGATGCAATCAGTCGATCTGTTTTGGGATCTCAAAGACCAACAAAGTGGTAAAATGATCCAACAACAGACAACAGAGCTCCACGGTGACATTTGGAAACTCTTGAATGAGTGATGTTGATTATAAGAAACCACCACAACAGAGCGATATTTATAGTCCTCAGAATTCATTATTAAACCGCAGTCGGAGCTGATCAGAGCGGCAGAGCCTTCAGAGGTATTTACAGAGAGCAGATGGTCAACCACAGCCTGTTATGAAAGAGCCTTATTAGCTGAGTCCTGCTAATACTTTCCTGTGAAGTAATCGATTGCAACACGGCGGGAACGGGAACTATTTTACATGACTCGTCACTTTTTAATTCCTCAAAGAAGATGGAAGTGTACCAACACCCAAGGGTCCGGCTGAGGTCGACCAACATTAATAACTCAGTGTTCTGATGCTGCCTTGGAGTCGGCCTTCGTTTGTCCTCTTGTCGCTATGGCAACTGTGTCATGAATTGACTAAATAGTGAACTGCAGTTTGCTGCTTTCAGTGTCTGAATTCTGCATGAAATGTGAAAATGTTGATAAAATCTTGACGTAGTTTCCAGGTCTGGAAGAGAAACTTTAAACCTGCACTATTTCTAACAGCCAGCAGGGGGCGACTCTTCTGGCTGATTCCATAGAAATCTATGAGAAAACGAGCGACTTCTTACTTGATTTATCCCCTCAGTGAACATTTTCCTAATGAGTTCATGGTCTTGGTCACTAGTTTTGAGTCTCCTTTAATACAGCAGGATGTTTATTTAGTAAATGATGGTCTCATTTAGGGATAAATAAGAAGGTTTGGGATTTTCAAGTTGCCTCTGACTGGGTTTCATCATGTTCAGGTTAAAAAAAATCCAGAAAGTGTACAGCTAAATTCCAAACTTCACAAACATAATCCACAAACTGAATAAAGTTTTACACTTTCAAGTTACAATACAAAATGTTTAGTCACAGAAACAAAAAACCTCAAAATGCATTTAACCAAACACAGCTAATGTAGAAAGGCGATGGGTACGTCCTTATTTTATATACTAGGTGTCAATTGATCGGTATCTAGAGCCACCAGTAAACACTACTCCTGCTAACAGTCACACGGTGCAAAGCGCTGCATTTTACCGATGCCAATTTTCAGAAATCTCAGTTGCTCGTATCTTTAGTTGCTGCACTTACTTCTTCCCTGTTGCTGTTTGTTTCCAAAATCTCCTTCACTACATAAACAACACACCCAGAGTATCAACGTAACGCCCTGAAAACGTCAGATTCATGATCGTGTAATAAAACTATTTTAAAGGGGCACCAGCGCTGCATCCCGGGCTTAGAATCGCGCCACACAATCGTAATAAGTTTAAAGAAATACGAACGTTTTTTTTTCACCCCTGAGAACAAAATGATGAGTGAAGCTGTGCAGGAATATTAAGTCTTTATTTTCCACATTTTTTATGGAACTTTCACCTGTTTTGTGTACAAATTAAAAACAAAAAAAAACAAATTAAACAGAAAAACTGTTTATTTGACACTTATTTTGAAAGGTAATATCTTCTAGCTTTTAGATAAATATGTTTGTTATCAAGAGGCTAAAACACAACAAGGTTTTATATTGTTTATGTCTTCTTCATAACAATAAATTTACAAAAAAAATCAGTGTAATTGGCGCATAATTGTACTATCTCACAGTTTCCAGGGAATAAACATTGCTGGATCTCTCATGTTTACTTTGCCTGTTAATGTGAAGGAATTATAGTTTGATGTACACGTTTTCTGTAAAATTAAGTAAATTGTGGAGAATCTGTGAGGTTGACTCATATGTTTATTTACAGGACAAATACCAGTTGTTGGTTATTATGTTGACAATAACCTGATTTATATTCACAGTAAAAATAAATCTTGGTGTGAAAATTTAAAATATCAAAAACTTTGGCAGAAAACTTCATTGAAACGTTTCTATCTTCAACATTTATCCTTCAGTGTTGATTGGCCGTTACTCGTGACGTGTGGCCAATCAGACGCCGTTGTCGGGCGGATTTAAAACAACACATTTCTGTTTTAATTTATTTAATCAGGAATAAAAAAATAATAATGATACCAGCAACTAGAAAACAGGTGAAGTGGTGACGGTTGAATCTCGGTTTGTGTTGCATTTTTAATTTAACCCATCGTTGGAAAAGATTTGGGTCTTTTTGTTAGATACGGGACAGAAACGGATCTGCTCGTCACCCGACGGTTGCTGGTTGAATCCCTGAGCTGGTGTGGTTTTATCCTGACGAACCCGTGAGCAGGGAAGCGGTGCCGAGCAGATAACTGGGCGAGTGTTTGTCCAACAACAGCCTTGTTGTTGTTCAGCCTTCAGCTCGCGATCACATGAGAGCTGCTAATGATCTTAAGTTCGTCAGTGAAGGAGGGTTTGTGTGCTTGTGCCAGTGTTGATGTTTTCATGCATTTGTGCGGTTAGTTTATAGACTCACACTGAGCCATGTGACGGATGAGTAATGCTTCGACACATATTTGACTTTCACACATTGTGTATGAATTCTATTGAAGTTTCCACAGAGCGAGGCCCAGTGAGAGTCAGGCTTCTGGGAATAGAAAGCAGGACGAGGTCTGAGGCGGCTGCAGAGGAGAGCAGTGGGTCAGAGAAACCGCGGCAGCAACCTGAATGCCGTCGGTTATTTTTAGGTCACACACATCCAGCGGCTCAGCGTGAGGCAGACACACACCGCGGCCACCTGCTGACTCGGCGGTCGACAGCTGCCAGGTGTGCGTCGGGATGCGTTTTAGCCCACGGCGTCTATAGAACTACAAACATGGAGCCGACACCGACCCTGAGTGGTGGAGCCTGAAGCCCTCCTTCCCTCCCTCGTTGTTATCTGTGACCACCGTAGTGAGCTATGTAGGGCAAAGGCAGGTCTTGGTTGTTAATTACGTCTCTATCGGATGGATGGTGGTGAACCGACGGCATCTCAGTGATAAATTCATGTTATACTGAACGTATTTCCCTAAATTAATAAATGAAAATAACTTGGTTTTTACACATAAAGAAAAGATAAATCCTATATAAAATATGTTTTAACACGATGAAATGCATCTTGACACATTTCAAAATACGTCTTAACACAATTAAATGAGTCTTATCACGATAGAATAGTGTCAAAAATCCGTTGAAATGCTGTTTCTTTATACCAGTTCTTTCAGACGTCTGTGCTTTGTGAGCTTGTGTCTTAATTGTGTTTTCATAGGTGTTGTATTTTTGTTGTTGAAGCCACGTCAAAGGAGAATTACTGTCACGACTTGGGACAGACAATAAAGTTTATCTATCTATCCATCCATCCATCTGTCATCCATTCATCCATCTATCATCCATCTGTCATCCATCCATCTGTCATCCATCTATCTGTCATCTATCTATCATCTATCATCCATCCATCCATCCATCCATCCATCCATCCATCCATCCATCCATCCATCCATCCATCCATCCATCCATCCATCCATCCATCCCTCCCACTCATCCTCTCTGTCGTCCTCCTTCGACACAATGCATGATGGGACATGTTGGAGGACTGAACTTCTTTCCCGATGCATTGTGGGAAACTCTGAGCGACCAATTTGGGACTCAGCCCAGATGTTCTCGTACCGTCTGTGAGTCCGTCCAGAGGAGACCTGATCCTGAACTGTCCTCTGATTGCTGTTCTGTGTTTCTGCAGATTGAATCTTCCGCCGTGAGCTGTTGGACCGAGCAGACCAAAGGTAACACCTGAACCTCTCACATCTGTCTGGTTCTGTTTGGACATCTCCAGGTTTTATTTACACAATTAAAAAAAATTAGATTTAGATTGTACAGATTTTCTCTGTTTTGTTAAATTACACATAATTTCCAGTAAAATCACAGAAAAAGTGAAAGTTTACATGTTATAATAATAAAATAATATCCATGTTCGCTTACTGTTAAAATCAGCTAACACTATCATTATTTTGCAGATATTTGCTGTTATTTCCACCAGTTTTTACGTGTTTTGAACGTTTCCATCATGGTTTACATGATTTTCTGCCTCCTCTGCTGCTAGATGGTCAGTTTATGGACTGAGCCTCATGTTCTGCACACTTTGCCAAATTATCCACTAAAAGTTCCTTTTCACTGTGAACCATCGGACGTTCGCTGCTACTGAAGAAATCCTAAAACTGTGATGATTCTCAGGAAAGTTCTGCATTAAAACTGACAGTATTAGTGTGATTCCAGCTGATATTTTAAACCAGGAAACACTGTTTACTGTCTCAGCATCTCAGAACCTCCATCGTAGGCTAATAAAACTGGTTTTAATGAACTTTAACTGGCCTGGTCAGTCACATCCAGCCAGTTGGGTTGAACTCCATCCATTCGTTATTGGAACATCCCCGTGTCCACATACTTTTGGTCACTTTTCACCTTTCAAACTGCTTCTGACAGATATCACTGCTGCCATGCTTCTGTTCCTGCCATCTGCTGCTGCTGCTGTTCGTACGTCTTGTTCTAACAGACCACGTTGTGCACATTCCTCGTCGCTGTAATGTTATTTTCATCTGGTATCTGGAGGGTTTTATCCGACGTGCGGTTCAGGACGTCGTACGCTTGTTATTATCCCACCGTGTTCATAGTTGAGGCCAACCCAAAGTGCAGCAGCCTATATTTTCCTATTACCGTCCTAAACGTCACTTATTCGGTTTCAGTCTGTAAATATCAAACCAGTTGTAAAAAAAAAAAAAGGAACCCAGCGGACGGTTGGAAAGTTGTGTCGAGGTTTCCAAAATAAATGTTCTTGTGCTGGCTTTATGGTCGGCGTGTTTGCCTCCGAAGCGTCCCACATTCATCAGATATCGCTCGCTATTAATCACTCGCAGAGCGTTCGTGTTCTTTAAGCTTGTGTTTCATCCCCGTCGAGCTCTGCGGAAAACTAGACGTCTCTGTGGCGAGCGGCTCCAGCGTTTAGCCACGGCCGATCCCGGGTGTTGTAAGTCTGTGGTCGGTGCGGACTAATTCCTAAAGTCCGGTCCTCTTACAGACCAGGCTGCGGGGGTTTAAAGTCAACAGTCTTGATGTAATTTGTGTGTTTCCACTAGACTAAAGTTTCTTCACGGTCTCATTGAGCAGCTGCTTGTTAGCGTTGAGTATCAGAACCTCGCGGTCAGCTTTGGCCAACTAACCAAAGAGTTAGTTATTAGATTCTTAAGAAGCCACTTTAGCAGGTTTTAAAATGTACTGAGAAAATGATATTTGCTGTTCGATGCTGCTAAAGTTTCCAACAAAGTTTTACTTCAAACCAACCGTTGTTGAAACAGCAGCACGGGTCAGAGTTTAATTTCACAGTCAGGCTGGAACCAGTAGCTGTCTGAACCCCAGACAGGTTCAGTTTTCACCGCAATGTAAAGTCAGATGTAGAAAGATGTTCCACCATCA